ATTTCTCCAGCTTTTTGTTTGTTTGTTTGACTACTAACATTTACAAATCAACTCTTAGGCTATTTCTATCTATTATTCTCTTCTCATCTTTGCTTTTCTGCCCTTGTTTAAGCCCTGCTGACATTCAGGCAGGATTGTGAAGCTAGCTGCTGGTGAGGATCGTTTAGGTTGATCCTCTCAAAACTTACCCCCGTTCCTACCTCTTCCTCTCCTACTCCGGTGACTAGAAGAATAACACGTCCCAACACAAACAGAAGCCATACAACTCAGTGTGGCTGTGAAGGCTATGGCACTAGCATTCCTCAACCCCAGAACTGGGGGGGACGCTTCCCTTTAAAAGGTAGAATACGAAAGGTGATAACTAGCCATTAACAAAGGATGGTGGGAATAAAGGCTGAAAAATCCCTTCCAACACATTATTATAGCAGATGCACTGGAATGCCTTCTGTGGGTGAAAAGATTTCTTATTTTTTTTTTTTTAGCTATTGTTTATTCTCTTTATCTTAAGGCTACTGCATTGCTAACTAATATCTTACTTAGCTTATTCTTTCCTGCTTCTATCCTTGTATCTTCACTTCAGGAAGAAAAGACCAGGACAAAATGCTAAGTAAATGAATGCTGGTAATAAAAACAAAACACATCTAGATGTTGTAACAGTGTCGAAGACCTGAAAGCTACAACAAGTTATAAAAAAAAAATTAAGAGCAACCTAGATACATTTATACAGTTTTTAAAAATCCCTACACATATCAGTTAGGTACTTAAACATCATAGAATACAATATAGTAGATACAGTGCATAATGTAGAAAACAGACTCTCAAAATTATTAATGTATTCAGTCTCAGGGGATACAATGGTAACCAAACACTTCCATGGGATTTAGAATTGAATTGGGTAAAAGTACATGCCAGGCCCTTTCTGGTGGCTCAATGGGTTAAATCATAGCATGTGAAGCTATCTGAAGTCACTGTAGCATGAGTTCGATCCCTGGCCAGGAAGGTATTTCAGTCCATCTGCCTGTTCTGCTCCCTACTCTGTCTCTGTGAATACTCTCACCCGTCCCTGCACCTCTGCCTTGTACCCCAACTCTTGTATGCATAAAAAAATCAATATTTTCCAAAAAGTGCATGCCAAATATAATCACACAATAGTTGAAATCTATGTAATAAATGTTAAAATTGAAGAATGGGTTTTATAAGGGAGACCTTGGTCTGGTCCACGTAGAGTGAAGAACAGGCCGTCAAAGGAAACTTTCTTAGAAAACCACAGTTTGTAATAACTCAGAGCATAAGCCTGCTTTCTTAGAGAATGAACAGGAGAGGTTGGGACAAGAGACACAACATCTGGGAAGAGGAATAGTGCAAACGAAGGAACAACACTGATTCTGAAGTGGCAAGCTTACGTGTGCGTGTCCTTTCCAACTCATAGATGAAAAATGAAATCACTAACTAGACCAGGTTCTTTCCTATGAAACCATTCTTTAATGTGATCATTTATAACTCAGATTTTAGTCTAAG